CGGAAGCGTCAGCCAATCAAATCATATGCCAGTACAAGCGCTAGCCAATCAAACCACGTAACTGTGTGTCCGGGGCGGGAGATTAATGTGATTGGTTGTTGGTCGCCCGCCAGACACGCCCACCAGCAAGCTTCAATGCACGCTGCCGTGTGGACGTACCGTTAGGGTAAGGGTAACGGCCCGTTCACACAGCGGCGTGTGTTGTCGCTTGCTGGGGGGCATGTCTGAAGCTCGACCAACAACCAATCACATTAATCTCCCGCCCCGGACACACAAGCAACGATTTGATTGGCTAGAGCTTGTACTGGCATATGATTCGATTGGCTGACGATTCCGTCGAAGCTTAAAAAGTAGAACATTGCTCTACTTTTGCAGCGAGCACCGCGAGAAAAGCTACGCTTTGCTCCCACAATGCAGTTCAACGAAGCGTGACGTCACCCCATTCAGAGTGAATGGGCAGAAGCGTTGAAGCTTCAACGCACGCCGCTGTGTGGACGGGCCGTTAGGGTTAGACATGTGTTGGTTGTGGTTAAGGTTAGGATAAGTCTCCAGGAAATGCATGTAAGTCAATGTAATGTCCCCTGAAGTGATGTATACATGGTGTGCACACACTCACACACACACAAACAAACTGTGTGTTGATAACTAGCTGTGAGTTATGAGCTCTGACGTCCCGTCGAGGCTCCGCTCTCAACCGTTCTTCTTCTGCAATGTTTACTCTGGCTGAGAGAGGAGATTTGGGGCACTCTTCTTCTCTGGTTCTTATCAGGGGAAGCAGTGACTTACAGTTTCTGGGTCATGGTGAGCCCCTCCTGCATTATTAGTTCTCCCTTTCGTCCCTTTTCTCTAGCTCGGCACACTCTTTTTTTTTCAAGTGAAGCAGTTCAGAGTCCTTCATGAAGCCCCCTGCTGTGATTTCAATTTCAGATCCTTCCTCTCAGCCATCATTCTGGCTCGAGCCTTCTTTCTATTTCCTACTTTAGCTTTTTCTTCTGTCGCTTCAAATGAAGGTGTCATTGGGTTTGCTTTTTAAAACCATGGGATATTATTACATTGCAATATGTCTATTTATAATCTTTTGAAAGCTGATTCTCCCTTCATTTACATCCTTTCCCTGCTCTCTTATCGTTCCTTCCTTTGTCACTGTATCCTTCCACCGAACAATTCCTAGGAAGGATATCTGAGGACATCTCATCCTTCCTGACACAGTAAATCATCGTGCCTCTCTGACGATTAACCCCATGTATCTCTCTTCCTCTCCAGGATCCTGCTCACTGTAGTGGTGATCTTTCGTATCCTGATCGTGGCCATCGTTGGAGAGACCGTGTACGAGGACGAGCAGGCCATGTTCGTCTGCAACACCCTGCAACCCGGCTGCAACCAGGCCTGCTACGACAAGGCCTTCCCCATCTCACACATCCGATACTGGGTCTTCCAGATCATCCTGGTGTGCACGCCCAGCCTCTGCTTCATCACCTACTCCGTCCACCAGTCGGCCAAGCAGAAAGAACGGCGCTACTCCTTCCTCTACCCCATCATGGAGAGGGACTACGGGGGAAGGGACGGCACTCGTAAGCTCCGCAACATCAACGGTATCCTCGTTCAACATGGCGGTGATGGAGGAGGAGGAAAGGAGGAACCGGACTGCCTGGAAGTGAAGGAGATCCCCAACGCGCCACGAGGCCTCACCCACTCCAAGAGCTCCAAGGTGCGCCGGCAAGAAGGCATCTCCCGCTTCTACATCATCCAGGTGGTGTTCAGAAACGCGCTGGAGATCGGCTTCTTGGTGGGTCAGTACTTCCTCTACGGCTTCAGTGTGCACGGGCTTTTCGAGTGTGACCGCTACCCGTGTCTGAAGGAGGTGGAGTGCTACGTGTCGCGCCCCACGGAGAAAACGGTGTTCCTGGTGTTCATGTTCGCGGTGAGCGGCATCTGCGTGGTGCTCAACCTGGCCGAGCTCAACCACCTGGGCTGGCGTAAGATTAAAGCCGCCATCCGAGGCGTTCAGGCCCGCAGGAAGTCCATCTGCGAGATCAGGAAGAAGGACATGGCGCACCTGTCCCAGCCGCCAAACCTCGGACGCACCCAGTCCAGCGAATCAGCTTACGTCTGATGATGAAGACAAGAAAAAAGGTTTGAGGAGGAGGGGGAGGAGGAGGAGGAGAGGGGGGGGGTGAATGTGCAAGGGAGGGAATTCATTATGATTTTAATTTGATGAAGACGGCACTGAGGTGACCCCTCCTGAAGGAAACAGAATGTAAAAATAACCAAACCTCCGTCGTTGAGGGTCGAGAAGGAGGAAGAAAAAAGATCTGTTTAGCAAATGAACGTGATGAACATACGTTGGTCTCATGGGGAAGATATCCCAACTGCCATTTTCTACTTTTTGTCTTTTAAATAAAAAACTAATTACCCTCTCCTCTGCCCCGTTTTTTTTTTAAAGTGGGGGAATGAAATCCTCAAGGGGCTTGAGACGAGAAGACGAGGGTTAAGGAAAGGAGAAGAGATGAGAGGCTGTTTTTGTATTCTTCGGGGACACTTGGAAGATGACGGCGGTGTTTGATGCATCCCATGGTGCTTTTCTTCTGGACTGTGTCAGCCTCGATGCTCGGGTAACGGGAGGATGAGCAGCCACATCGTTAAAAGAGGAACGGAAGAACTGTCTCGAGAGCGACGTTTGTGAGATGGAGAGAAGGACGGTGGGTCACATCGCTCTGGGAAAACATATATGATATCCCCGAAGGTCTTTTTGTTTTCCTAGACTGAAGCCAGGAGAGAGAGATCTGCGTCTGATCAGTGTCGCCTCGGTTGGAACATTGTCACGAGCTAAAGCCAAGACTGACGATGTTTATATTTTGTCTCTTGGCAAAAGATGAATTTAACACAAACACATCAAGTATCATAAACACTTCTTTTTTTTTTCTTTCTCCCCCGATCCCTCGCCTCTCTGTGCTCCGCTGGTTGGCAGCCATATGGACCCCCAGGGGCTTCTGGTGACAGTAACGACTCTTGCTGCTCTGCTTCTGCGTAAACTTGGGCGGGGAACTAATGAACGTGTTAACTCGCATCTCTCCCAAAGCTCAAAACAAACTTTCAGCATTCCAGTGTGCTGAGAGAGGGAGGAGAGGAGAGAGGGAACGAGAGGAGAGGGAAGAGAGGACATCACTTTATTACAGATTTTATAAAAAATATATCACCATGAATTCTTTTCTTCTTTGTTTTTTCAAAAAAAGCGATGGTGCCATCCTTGAGATATTTAATTATTGTTGATAAAGTTACATAGAGTATATCATGGTAATATTATTTATCCATTTAGAGTATATCCAAATAGATTTATGTATCTTTGCGTGCGGGGTTGGTTGGGACGTGCAATTGTTTTTTTTTCACGTGTAAATTGTCTGTCTTTTTTTCATTTTTGTTTAAGCATTTCTCACTGAAGGAACTGATTAACGATGAAGGCCTACAGAGCAGGAGGAGTCTGTGCAGCTGATTTTTTTTAATATGTGCAACTTCATTGTTTCTTGATTGCATTCAAAATGTAAAACAATGCATGTGCAGGCGTTCCCTAATCCCTACCGAGAGTCAGCTGCACAGCTAACGCCTGCGAGCCGTTTGAAAAAGGCATGTTTACATGACGTGATGTTTCTTGAATGATCAAGCTGTGTAGTAACTCTACTAGGGGACAGTTGTGTTTTTCTTTCGTTTGCATTTTTCTTTCCTGACTGGATTTCAGCATGCATGCCTTGTTAGAGAAAAAGAACGTCAAGATGAAAAAAAGTGTGTTGCACCTTGATTAACGCGGACCGGCTGGAGAGTGGCAGACTGAAGGAACTAATGTTTGAACTCATACACTGATGCATCATTTAAGATCATTTAGCGCAGGCCTGTGAAACCAGACGTAGGGACGATTCACAGCACTACATATGGTGTCTTTCAAAAGAAGATTGAACTCGAGTAAACACACATATTCTCAGCCATTACATTTTAAATCAGTTTATCTTCAATCCTGTGTTTACATACTGTGACATTCTTCAAAATCAGCTAACTAAAAGAACATCTTGAACCCAGTCTAGACACGTTGTAGCAGATCAGCAAAGTTGCTTCTGGTGTTAAGAATCTTCTTTACCGCTGCCCATTGAATGGCCTTATGTAGCTTGACACTGTAGGAGCCTAACACTGCCACATTTGGGGGTTTAAAGGCCCCTCCCCTATGCACTAATGCACAAGCAGATAAACACATCAGCAGACCTAACTGTAGCTTCAGTATTTCATTTCTTTCCAATTCAATTTCCACTAAATTGCACCATAACTTGAATTCGTAATGTCAAAACCTTTCTAATTGAATATATGTTGTATCCACTTTCCCTTAACTTGCCTTACCTGCTTGTGCTTTGTTTAGCGATTCCCTACATTTCCCACAATGCCTTTGGACAATTCCTCTGTCATTATGCTGGGGGTAAACAAAGGGGAAATTAGATACATAACTAGTTGACTAAAATGCACGCTATTGCAAATGTTTACTTTAGTTTATTTTTGTTGTTTCTACAACTCAAATCCACGTATATAAATGGACAAAATAACCTTTTTACTTTTTCAAATAATAATGACAAACCAAAGCAAATGCATACCAACCTAAAAAGATGTTATTTTTAAGAGGAAATGTTTGTATCGTAGAACAGCATCGTAGCTACTCTGGAATTACCTTAACACGACACCAGCTAATGCTTCAAAACCCTAAGCACCTTTACACTGAGTGTCAGTAGTAATTGATGCAACACCAACAGCTGAAGCAGAAGAAATCCCCCCTCTGACTCTCTGTTTCCCCTTTCACTCCCCCTGTCATAATCTCAGTGATTCTTACAGGTGATTATCCCCAGACTTAGGCTCCCATGAGGATCTCTGAGGAGCTCAAATGGATGCAGTCTACTGTAAGCACGGGG